TGTAGGAGAAAAGAAAAGTTTCCATTGTTAGAAGGATTGAGAACAAAAGATTCCAAATTTAAAGTAATTGGCAAAAGCAGCAATAGCAATATGAGGAAAATCTTTCTCACACAGTAAGTCGTTAAGCTATGGAAGGTGCTGTCCAAGTGTGTGATTGAAGCAGAGGTTCAATAAAGACATCCAAGAAAGATTTGGATTATTATCAGAAAAGTAACTCTCTTCAGGTCTATGGGAAAAAAAGCATGAACTGTTACTGGTTTATGACTCCATCAGAGAGCTGGTGCAGACACAATGGGCTGAGTGGCCTTTTCACATTACTTCTTTGATTGTCCATCACCATTCATGAATGGATGTAGCAGGGCTGCAAAGCTTTTATTCTGCTCCGTTGGTTGTGGGATTATTTAGTTTTGATCGTCATGTGCTGTATCCACTATTTTGTATGCATGCGGTCCTGCATTATCACTTCATTGGGTTACCATCCGAGTTTTAGGCATACATGTTACTTTTCCTGGCATGCTATCTAGCATTCCCCATTCAGACAGAGTTGGTCCCAGACTTGATGGTAATTGTAGAGTGAGGAATATGTCAAGCCTTGAGGCTATAGGTTGTGGTCATGCACGACATTGCTCAATTATGTGGTAGGCAGAATGTCTTCTTGAACTGATAGCAGCCTCCTATTAGCAGAAAATTCCACTCCAGTCACCACTGCATTGTAACAGGGCAAAGTAGATTGCTTAATCTCTTGTTCATCTTCTCAAAAACATTATTCTAGAGAGGCAAGGTAAGGTAAGCCAAGCACTCTTCATATCCAAATCACAATGAAGTATTTACAAAGATCTTTAGTCAGAAATACCAAATGATTGATTCATCTTGGCCTCATTGTAATGCCTCTCCTTCACAGAATGTTGCCCTCCAAGCCTCCATCTCTACCCCTACCTCCTTTACTTGATACAACCTGTCCATCTTCACTCCTACCTATCCGCCCCTCTCATCCCACTGACCAATCCCCACCACTGCCTACCTGTACTCACCTATCACCATCCATTCTACCTTCCCCAGCCCCACCCCTCCTCTCTTTATTTATTTCCCATTTCCCTCCCCCCTCCCCATTTCTGAAGAAGGGTCCTGACTCAAAACATCAACTTTCCTGCACCTCTGATGCTGCCTGGCCTGCTTGTTCCTCCAGTTCCACACTGTATTGTCTCTGACTCCAGCATCTGCAGTTCTTGCTGTCTCAAGTCTTTCCATGTCGTACAGCAAATTATTTGACCTTGATAACCATTCAACTGTGGTACTGGAAACTTGTGTTCCACACAAAGTAAGCCAATTACCACCCTGTCAAGCTACTCTGAAGATGTTAGAAATGTTGCCATCAGTGCTTTTGAGGAGAATTTACTCAACAAACATCTTCTCTCAAATCTCAGTTTGGATTTCACTAGAAACAACCCGACCCTGTCTTGCTGTAAACCTGGACATAAGAGCTAAACTCCAGGCACGAGTTAAAAGTGATTGTCCTTGATGTCAATGACCTGTACAAAATTGAAGTCATTGGGAATCAGGGAGAGAATTCTACACTGACTGGAGACATATCTAGTGCAAAAGACAATGGCTGTTGGAATGCAGAACCTAAGATATTGCTGCAGGATTTCCTGGGGGCAACATCCTAGTCCCACCCATCCTCAGCTTCTTCATCTCTGACCTTTCCTCCTTAATAAGGTCAGAAGTGGAATGTACATTGATTGCATTTAAGTGTTTAATTCCACTCACAGCTCTTCACATACTCATATATTCATATGCAGAAAGATTCGGACAACATTTAGCCTTGAAGTGCGAAGTGGAATGTCATATTCAAGGGATGAAGATAACCATCTCCAACAACCCCCACATGATTTTCAATAGTGTTACCAGTGTTGATTCTACTACTAATATCCTGGCATTTACCACGGACTAGAGACTTAACTGAATTAGCCATATAATTATTATGTCCATAGCAGGTCCTATAGTATTTCTGTAACAGATAACTCACCTCCTGACTCCCCAAACTTTTACATCTAAAAGCAGGAATGTGATGGGATACTCTCTGCTTGCCTGGATGAGGGCAGCTCCAAAAAATCACTTGAGTAGTTTAATACTATCCAGGGCAAAACAGTTCCCTTGATTGTTGATTCACCAACATTGGTGAATTGTGACTGTAGTGTGCACCATCTACAAGATGCATTGCAGCATCTTACTCAGGGTCCTTTGATAGCTGCTCCTACAACTGTTGTGATCTCTATCAGCAATAAGAATAGAGGGTAGTAAGCATTGGAGAACCGAATCTCACACTGCCACCACTTGGAAATGTGCTGTGTTCTTTCAACATGAATTTTTTTTAAATTAAAGTTCTTATTGCAGTGTCACCAGTTCAGTATCAAAGCAATTATTTGCCTGTTTTTGTCCTCCTACGAAATAGTAATTTTCTTCCCTGTTACTTTTACCAAAAGCAGCAACAAAACAGCAATTGGTTCCCCTCATGTTGAATGCAATCAATGCCCAAAAGCATTTATGGATACTAGTTTCCCAAAGATGAATAGAGATACAACACGTTCTGGAAATGTATTTTGTTCTATGCATATCGTTAAGAAAAATATTTCATTGAACTTTGGGGATTTAAATAGCACATTAGCAAAGTATGTTTTCTATACCCATGGAGCATTGGTACCCCTGGAATTTTGCTTGGATTGTTTTTACAGATTATGTCGCACTGATGGGGATCTTTAATTAAATCAAAAGACACTCAGTAATTCTAAGGTTTAAATGTATTGAATTGATTCCACAGCTGCAGTCAATTTAAATCAACTAAACTAATCTCAGAAAGGAGCTGAGACTCGTGAGTGTATTTCCTGAAGATACTCAAATATTTCTGAAACATGCTTTGTAAGAAAGTTGTGCAAAATGGTTCAGGTAGAATATTGAATCAGTTATCCTACAAAATCCTCCTTTTTTTCCACAAATGAGCTTAAGCTTCCTCAAGTCACACAGCAATGAAATGAGTCCATGCTAGAAAATGGAATCTCTAATAATAGTGTGAAATGACCAAAGTTGGAGAACAAAAACTAGGAAAGCCATGTATTTTCTGAATTTATCTGAGATTCTTCTGGGTTTTTTTAGTCGGATGTTTGTATTGGGTTTTGTATATCCATTCCATAGATGTGCTGAGATGTATTGATGATCTGCCATTAACACGCTGTGATACCTACGTTAACTCCTAAAACATAAATATGAGACCATAGGTCACATAATGTAAAATGTAAACTTTTATTCCAGCCTCTGGTATTTACATATATCTACTAGAAATATGTGGTTTTCTGTATCTGGGCTTAATGCAATTTAGATGTACCATATCACACTTCCCTCAGTGGTCACATTACAATAAAACGTAGCTTAGTGAGATGGAGACTGAGAGCTTCATGTCATTAGGTTACATGCCATGATATGGTGATGACATCATGAACATGCCCCTTAAAGGTATATCACACATATCTGATCAAGTGTGTACCCTACCTGGCCACTGTCATTTATATGTAGGAAGCCTGGGAAACTAGAACCTTAATCATTACTTTCAGAACACTCCATGTCCTAATCACTCCTTAACCAGGATTTCTAGATCTCCCTGCTCTTCAAATTCTGGTTTCTTGTGCTTTTCCAAACTTCCACTCTTGGTGGTTGTGCTTCCAACCGACAAGGCCTTACGGTTTGGAATTCCATTTGTAAACTTCAGTGATATTTCCTAATGTATCCAAATATTTCCTTTTTGTAGCTCGTTGTCAATTGTTGTCTTTGAAATTAGTCCTGTTAATCTCTTTGGAACATAATATTATGTTAATGATACGAGATAGATGCAACTTATTATCATTACACTATGATTTGCCAGAATACATTACAGCATTGCACTGTGATCTGCCTGTCTTCAGTAGGTAACAGAATAAAGGCTCTACCAAAGTACAGCTCGAAATATAAACCCACAGGCAAATCTTTTGAATATTAAACAGATAACTGCAAAATGCTTATCAGATCTGAGCATTTACAGTAATTAAAATCACTACCATTCTCAAATATCAAAACACTTCTGCACTAATCCTTGACATTAAATTGACTGTAGAAAGATTTTGCTAATTGGCTATAGGACCTTTCTGATTAATTCCGGACCCCTCATTGCTTCAGACTGATTAGTGTGCTAGGTAGATAGAAATTTCCAACTTGCATCACTTGACTATGAGTCCAGGTCTAGAAAGTATCATGGCCCCACTCCTCATGTCCAGACCAGACACAAGTCTTCAACAGAGCTACAGCAGTCAATTGAGTCTATTACTTTTAAAAGACCTCTAAGATGTAAGTGATGCAAATGTGGATTGAATTAGATGATCTGTTTCTAAGATCAAGGGAGTTCTACACGGAAGGCCAAAAGTACCGAAGTTGAAAGAGAAACAAACCATTTCAGACGCTGAAAATCTGAAATAAAAACAGAAAGCACCAGAGAAACTCAGTAGATCTGGCAGCACAGAGGCAGGAAAGGGAGTTGTGGGTATGAGAGAAAACAACCTTTTCAAACTGTGAGTTAAGGTATGGAATGCACTTTTCTGAAGGAGGCAGGATCAATTGAGGCATTAAGAGGGTATTGGATTGTTATTTAAATGGAAACAATGTGCCAAGTTACAGGGAAAAGGCAGGAGATTAAACACTAAGGTAAAATGTTCAGAAAGCCAGTGCAGAAATGATGGGCCAAATGGTCTGCCTATGCACTGTAACAATCTGTGATAGATCACAGTCAATTGAACTGCCAATGGAGTCAATGATGAAAGTCAATAAATAATCCAGAACAGGTAGAGATGATCTTTTTATCAACAAAATTATTGAACTTTGCACATAGAATTATTTGAAACATTTATCAAATACCAAGCAAGCTAAAATTGTAAGCTTACAGCGCAGATAAAATAGGTTGAAGCCAAATTTTAACTCACCCGCTCCTCCTCTTCTCTCAGATCAGGCATGGTACTGATGCAGAGACTTACTGTAGTGATTGTCACAAAAATAACAGAAAGGCAAGCAAACATCTTTCCTGGGATCCCTGAATCAGGATTTTCCACCATGTCCCTGAGGTTCTTCATGCAGTGACCCAAGCGAGTCGTGTCATCAAAGGCACCCTGTGATTCTTCAGTAAGTAACACTTCATAATCCATCTTCAGTTCCTCTAGATCCTCAACTTTCTGATACAGTTTACGGCGACAACACCATTCCAGGTTTTCATCCTCAATGCCCCAGTAAATTAACTCCTCTTGAAAGGAGAGAGCACACATTTCTCTGAGGAGTCTTAGTTTTCCAGCCGTCAGGAAAGTCATAATAGTTCTGAAGGCACAAGGATTGCGGTCAAAGAAAAACTCATTGCGGGTTACATCGTAGTCATCACAGATGTCCATAATTTCATCATAGCCGCTACATGCTTTGAGTTTGCCTAGACGTGTTAATGGGATCTGGTCAAGTATAATCCATGGCATCTTATATTTAATGCCTCCAACATTAATGATCGCATACCGAATTCTCTCATTGATTTGGGGGACACAGCAGACATCTTCATCTGGTTGAAGCAGTTTGACTTTTTGGTAATAAATCCCTTTGTTGGTGTGGGTCTCCTTGCCTCCAGTGGTGCAAGTGAAGGTCATGTGCTCTCGCTCCAATCTGCCCTCAGCCAGCAGAGCCATTGTAACTTCATCTATAGCTTTGCAGGGCCACTCGCTTGTTTTACTTCATGGAGAATGATCCAGTGAAATAAAATTGTTGCAACTGTCAAGAGAAAAGATCAATTGAAAAACTGTCAATACAATCACCTTAAAACTGAGTAGTCAGCCTCAACAATGGGCAATGCTAAAGGTGGGAGGCTGTATCTGTCACATCGGATACCAGAAAAGATCAAACAGTATTAGTGTGTACTCTCTCCTTGCTAAAGTATCTTTCCTGTTCTTTGATTTCTTAAGATTGTTTTTTGGTGTCCTTTTAAAAGCAACCTGGTATGAAAATAATACATTATTATGGCGGTACAGCTATACCTGCACTTTGGCTTAATGTACTTTGGTAGGGAAATTGGAAACATCATCCGCACCTTCAATAATGTTGAAAAACAGACAGTTTCAGGGTAAAAGGTGAACAAATAATGTAAAACACAGCAGGTTAGCGAGGCAATTATAAATGCTAATGAATCACTGCAATTTATTTCTAGGATGATAGAATTCAAAAGAAAAACATTGCCATAGACTTAGCAGACCATAGGGCTGCTTTCTCATTACAGAGAGGTAACTGGTGGTAGTTTACACTGAGGCTCACCATGCCTCAGGTGAGCAGAGAGGTTGAGAAGATATATTCTTCATTGTAACATCAGCCAGTGTGGGAATTGAATCCATGCTGTTGCTATCACTCCAGCTGTCCAACCAAATGAGCTAAACCAACTGGCCCAGCTCCAGAGAATTCAAAGTAGTTGGACAGTGTATAGGGCACTCGTCAGGCCACAAATGGGGAGCAGTGCACAGTTCTGCTCTTCATATTATAAAGAGGACATAAAGCACTTGAGAAAGTAAATTGAGAACTGGCAGATCATAGCCATTGGAAATAATTTTAAAAAAGGTTCAGCATTCATATTTTAGAAAAGGGAAGGCTTAGAGGATACCTGATAGAGATTTTTCAAATTACAAATGGGTGGGACAAGGTAGCCACAAGAGTGAATATTTCCACTTAGTCGTTATCTTGTAGCTATGGCCCCTACTATCATCTATGAGTTGAATCTGAGACATTTCATTCCTCAGTGATTAGAATTAGTGGGAAGTGATGGCCTCGTGGTATTGTCACTAAACTATTAGGCCAGAGATCCATGTAATGTTCCGAGGATGGGAGTTGAAATCCTGCCATGGCAGATGGTGAAATTTGAATTCATTACAAATCTGCATTTAAGAGTTAATGATGATGATGAATCCATTGCCAATTGTCAGAAAAACCCAATAAAAAAACCAAAATCAATGCAGATGCTGGAAATCAGAAACAAAAACAGAACATTCTGAAGAAGAATCCCTGGACCTGAAACATTAACTCTGATTTCTTTCCACAGCTGCTGTCAGATCTGCTGAGCTTTTCCAGCAATTTCTATTTTTGTGTCAGGAAAACTCACCTAGTCACTACTGAAGTGTCCCCAGTATACACGTTTCTTACTTACAAACACAATCCCATGCAGGGTGTAATTTTAAAAATTTGACATATGAATATTTCCTGTACTTATAAACAGCTGCTTTATATTGTCCCGCATTGTGTTCCGCCTTGCAAACAAATCAACTTTAGAACGGACTCAGGAACAGAACCCTTTTACAACCCAGGGGCTGCCTGTAATGTCCTTCTGGGAAGGAAATTGCTGTTCTTAACTGGTCTGACTTCAGACCCACAAAAATGTAGGTCACCCTCAACTACCTCTGGGCAATTAGGAATGGGCAATAAATGCTAGCCTAGCTACATCCACATCTCATGACTGAATAAGACAAAATGTGGAACTTGTTACCACAGGAACTGATTGAGGCAAATATTTCACAGGCTTGTAAAAGGAAATTAGAAAAATACATGAAAGAAAACAGAGTAGAAAGATATGCTGCATGACTGAGATGTGGAGGATGGAATGGGAGGAGATTTTTGAGGAGTACAAACAGTACCACAGACTAGATGGTTCAGATCATATGTTTCCGTGCTGTAGGTTTGATGCAATGAAGCAGGTTTTTGCTAAGCAGACTGGATCTTAATTACATTTTGCTCCAGTACATGCTATACATTGACAGTATGCCATAGTGCTAACCAGTACACCTTTTTTATTTTAGTATATTACCTTTCCAGTCTAATCTGAAATTATTGCTAGTATCAGGCATTTATATCCACTGTAAGAGTAATGGTCTTTTATTCAAAAATGATCAAAGATATGTGAGTTACTCATAATTCAAATACTTATACAAAAATTAGGATAATATCATTTCACAGCGGCTTACATTATCTTCTTAATGAGTATATTTGTTACTATCCAATATTCTGTGAGACTTTCGGAGGAAACAATCTGTTATAGATATCTCAATGTGTTGTTTATATGTGGGAGGAGTGATATTCCCAAGTTTCAATTCAAGAAACAAACTGAAAACTCAACATTCGATGAGAACAATGAAGAAAGGATATCAAAATATATACATGCTGTATATATCCTTTTAACTAAATCAATGAATTAATGCAAAGATTCTGTGATGTATTCCACGTGTAGAATCTCTTAAGGATTAGCAGAGCACACCTTATCCAGGCTAACATTCCCTGATAATAATGTGAACAATTGTAATTAGATTATTAGCAACCTGGGTCATCTGCTGCCTACAGAATGTTTATAAGTGTGATTTTAACAGGCTCTGGGCTCCATCCTGAAAAAAAGGGAAGCGCATTTTACTCTGTATCTAAAATCATCTAAAGATATATCCATTATTCTGTCTGATGTCGAGTTAAATCTGATTTCACCACATTCTCTATATAAAGAAAAACACAGACTTTCCTGTTTAAAGAAATGGCACAAGGAATCCTGGCAGACTGAAACTCCATGGGGATTTCTGGGTTTCCAGCCAAAGAAAGCAAGAAGTTTTTTTTTATTCTTTGTTCTTAAGTTGTGGGCTTAACTGGTAAGGCCAGTATTTATTGCCCACCCCTAACTTGCTTGAAGAAGAACTGCTGTAGTTCATGTGGTGCAGATATACACCAAGTGCTGATGCAGAGGGAATTTGAGGATTTTGAGGAATGACAGTGAAGAAACCGTGATATAGTTTCAAGTCAGGGTGGTGAGTTGCTTGGGGATGACCACGCGGGTGGTAATGTTCCCATCTATCTGCTATCCTTATCTTTCTAGAGGTGTGGTTTTGGATGGGACTGTTGAAGGAGATTTGGTGAGTTACTGCTATGGCTCTGTACCACTTTGCGCCAGTAGCAGAGGAAGTAAATATTCAAGGAGTGGGATGGGTTGCCAATCAGGTGGGCTGCTTTCACTTGCATTGTGTCAAACATTTTGAGCATTGTCGGGACCACATCACCCAGACAAATGTAGAGTTTTCCACCATACTTGTGTCTTGCAGCCTGTAGCTTGTGTACAGGCGCTGGGAAGTTAGGAGGAATTAAGTTCCCAGCCTCTGACCTATCCTTGTAGCCACACTATTTATGTGCTAGTGCGATTTAATTTCTGATCAATGGTAACCTCCAAGGTTGTTTATAGTGGGAGATTCAGTGATGGTAATACCATTAAACCTCATGAGGAAATATTTGATTCTGTCTTGTTGGAGATGGACAGTGGTGCTACCAATATCACTTGTTAGGAATTGCCAATGTAGATGAGCTACTGTTCAAAATTATACACATTCATAATCTTCAGGAAGAAAGTCAGGAGAAAATATTCCACAGTAGGGAGTGAGTAAGCTTGAAATAGACAGATTAAAAAAAAAGCAAAGTCGACACAAGTGCTTGATAAACAAAATCTCAGGTATGCCTGATCACAAAGGAATTGAAATAAGTTATTTTTGAACTAATGGTAACATCAAAAAAGGCACTTTTGGACCACTGACAACTACAAAAGAACACTTTCATGCTAATGAAACACTCAAAAACAGCATAAATGTTAATACCATGGAGTATGACAAATTGCTGCCTATATAAGCAGTTCCATCAATAAGTGGGTCATAGGAAGAGGTTCTGAATTAGGACAAGGTTTTTGCTAGAGAATGAAGGTGAAGAAGACAGAAATCAGGAAACATATCCTACATTATTCTGTTTGAGTTTATATGGATAATGACAGCTTCAGCAAGTTATCTAACAGCAGTGGTTCAAATAAGGAAGGGAGAAAAATTAGGAAACAAAATGACATTCCATTTTTTCAATTACAACTAAGCAATAAGTACTCCCACAGTATGGCCAAAGTGAAAAATGATAACGTTCATCGCAGTAAACATGGACATTTTTCATCCTCAGGATTTTCAGAGTCCCCGTTGCTTTTCATACATTCGCCCTCATCATTTTCCTCAAACACCTCTTCTCTTTGGTATAGCACAACTAGGCCATCTTCATTTGGTTCTAATCTTGTCTATCTAATTGCATATTCCCAATCCCCAAATGTCTTAAGCTTGTACTTATCACTGCATTATTTTAAACACTCAACAATCTTCACCCAACCTATGCCTGTAATTACTTACATTTATAGAAATAGCCTAAACACTGGTCTTTTGTGGACCCCTTCTCTTCCCTTCATGTCACAATTTGTAGTGATGTCTCTCAACCTGCCTAAGCCCAATTCTCTTCCTGAACTCATTTCCATCTCCCTTTTCTTCTTTCAGATCCTTCCTATGATTGACCCCATCTAATCCTTCCTCCTTTAGTTGAACTTTCATTATCTTATATAATTATTATGCCTCTGTGAAGCACTTTGAGATGTTTAGATATGTTAAAGACACTATATAGACACAAGTTGCTGTTGCAGACATTAATCATTTTTCGCATTAAGAAAACATTATTGGAGCAAGATATATTACATCATTAAACACCACACAAATAAAAACTTCATTTTGCTCGGGTGTTATTCTCATCTCTAATGCTCGTCAGGGACTATTATAAATGAAACATTATAAGGTCCTCCCGTGTGACGTTAAAACTGTATTACTGTTGGCTTCGAAACACAAATAATTATCAATCAACCACACAAAGGTTATTAAGAATTCTAAATGTAATTGTATCTTTGTGAGAATGTG